CTCCGGCTATAATTCCTGTAAAACACTTAGTTAGACACTGAAAACTGTTCTTAGGATAAAATGACTACTTTACACCTGACCAAGTCATAGTCAAAGTCAACTTCTAGTTGAACTGACTCGCCAAGTTGGGCCTCCAACTCTTCGAGTCCATACCCTTCATCTGCCCTTCTTCACGCTTCTACTCGTCGAGTTTAGCAATGACTCGACGAGTTCTCCTTTTAAAACAACCTTGAATGAACCTTGATCCGACTCGCCGAGTTGTATGAACAACTCTTCGAGTTCATCCTCGTCCTACAAACAAGTCCTAACCTTGACTCACCGAGTTGTATGAACAACTCGTCGAGTTCATCTTCAAAGTTAAGAGATTGCCTTGGACTCGCTGAGTCTGCTCATGCACTCGTCAAGTCCTATGAACTCCAGGTCTATGGCTAAGTCCAATACATTGGGTCACTCCCTTGGACCCTCTAAAACTCAACTGGGTTCCTTTGAACCCTAACAGAAAAGGGGAGTCGAGCCTCGGACTCGCCGAGTCCCAAGAACAACTCGTCGAATCAAGGTTGTCCAAGTCTCATTTCTCGATTTCTGATGTACAACACTTGCCCAAATGATAGATCTAGGCTCCTAAGATCGATCTAGCACGTAAAGTTACGAACTTCACGTGCATGCATGGGACTAAGAACTAAAAAGACCCTAAAAGAAGCTCTTGAGTTGCATGGGGCTTTCCATGGGTGCAAAGCCAGTCCCTTTCTGCCTTCTAACTCCTAAAGGAGCCTGGATCTAAAGCCTCAACCCCCAACCATGCTTGAAATCATGGTTGGTCACCAAAAATGGCTTATAAAAGCCCTAAATCTCCCCAAAAAGGGATCTAATGCAAGAAGGAGCAAGGTGTCGACTTTATACCTCCCAAGGACTGTGGATGATGCACAAGTTTGACTCTTTCTGGTCTCCTCTTGATTCCTCTCGGTTTTTCCTTCCTTCTTGACACCACAAAGCACTAAAACCACCAAAACGCTCTTAGATCTTTCACAACACAGTTAGGGTTCGAAATGGAGTGTTCTAGGAGCATAAAGGGGCAATGGAGGCTGTATAAGGTCGTTTAAATATGGTGCAAACCCTCACATTAGGGTTTTGCCCAGCCAGAGCCTACTTTTCGAGTCTTGCCGCCGACTCGACGAGTCCGCCACTTAACCCCCGGGTCGAACCGTTACTACTCGACAAGTTGGGCTATCTACTCGCCGAGTCTCAGTCCAAATTGCGAGAAATACTTGAATGAAATACATACCAAGAACCGGGTGCTACATGTTGCTAATGATGTTGCTAAAACCTGCTAGCTACGTAATTTGTTGCGTAAACTTCATCACTCACCTCAAAAGGCGACTATTATTTATCGTGACAATATAAGTGCAATTTATCTAGCTTCAAATACGGTTCAACATCAAGGCACAAAGCACATTGGAATCAATATAAATTTTGTTCGCAACAAGGTTGCTTTGGGTCGGGTTCGGGTTTCGGGTCCTTCATGTTCCATCTATGGCTCAAGATATAGACATCTTCACTAAGAGTCTGCCATCTCTCCTGTTTCTAGACATTCATTCCAACTTAAACGCCCGCTGCCCGCCTGTTCTCACTGGGGGGGAGGGGGTTGTTAGTGGTCTCGATTTATTATACATGATTTCATTATTATTTTTTATAGCCTTGTATTTTATATTGGGCCAATTGTGTGAGGCCTTTTATTGTATTTTGTATATATAGTCTCCTAATGAATGATAAGTTTTTTACCGGAGAACTTATTGAATTACATTCTAGACCTTACACCGCCGACAAAAGTGTAAAAAACATTAAGAACTCATGCTTAATATCACTTTATTATGTAAATTTTTGAAAATTTGGTACAAACAACCTTTCTTCGTTTCATAAATTTGAATGACAATGTCCAATACAAATAATCTCTTACTTTCTTGTCTCTTTTTCACCATTCTGTTTGTTTATATTTTTACATTCTAAAAAGCTTCCTCTCTCTTCTTTTCAAAAACACACTTCAATTTCATCTTTTTGTTTTGTATTTTCTTTTTAAATCTTAACCCAATGTGGTATTTTGTTTGAATTCAGAATTCGATGTCAATTATGCAAAAATCTTGAAAACCTATCTCAATTTTTTTGTTAAATCATTGAAGTGAGATGAATGGGAATGGTATGTCAAAGGTGATCACTAGCAATGGTTGTTCAAAGATGTATTCATATATGAATTGTACATCGAATACTAATTCTTCCAAAGATCTTCAACCTCCATGTCCTTCTCTTCTTTATTCTACCTCAAATTCCCTATTTTATGGTCTTGTTATTTGTGTTAGTGGTCTATCCAAAGGTGATTCAATCTTCTTTGATGTGTTAATCATTTTGTTCTCTTTTTCTTAATCCTTTTATCATACAAATTACACAACTTTAATTACTCATGTAATCATATTGATTGTGGTGCTCTTGGACATTTTGACTCCTAGTCAAACAATTTGACATCTTTAAGAGTTTCAATATTTATAGAGAATGAAATAAATGTTTTATGACTTCAATTCAATTCTTCCTCTTTTGTTTTAACAACTTTAATGTATATGGAAATGCCATGCATTTTATATTCCTCTTATTACATCACCAAAGAAAAACTTTGACTTTTGCTATGATAAAAGTCAAACTTTAAATTCGCATCAACTTGGTTATGTTCTTACTTTGAAATTTAAAACTTTAGTATTGTTTTCCATATAATCGAACACAATCCCTATTTTTTTTAATTTGCATAATCTTAATTTTGAATGATGAAATTCAATGTTGTCAAGATCGGGATCTTATTCAAGATTGTTGTAAGTTTTGCAAGATCGTAATCGTAAAATCGGATCGGGATCAGAAGATCTTACCAAAATGAACTTGTAATCAAATTTTCTCGTAAGTTCTTGGGTGTGCAATATACATTATAATTTTGATGTCGATTAAGATGTCAATATGGATTCAACTTTAACTTATTAAACATGAATAAAAAATTTGTTGCTGCAAACAGTAAAAATTATGAAGAAAACATCTTAATTACAAAAAAGAAAAAAGATGATCCCACTATAGATCTTGCTTCAAATAGGTCATAGTGGGATCAAGATCGTTTTTGGTTGGTAAGATCTTAAGATCAAGATCGGGATCTTAATAACCATGGTGAAATTGTTTACTATGACTAAAACAAGACAAGGATGGCCTCTGGATTTATTGTTCCTGTTTTTCATTACATCTTCCATTCTTGTGTCATGAAGTGCATTCTTTATTAACTTATTTGAATTAACATACTCTTTTGTTTGGTTTCACCTACTTGTCTCACATAAGATTTAGAAGAAGTCTTGCTTTGCTAGCCAGATCTTTGACTTTTAATTTGATTTCTTTTTTATTTTGACTGACTCACAGAAGCAAGAAAACAAGTGATGCATGCAACAGAGAGATTGGGTGGTCAATTTAGTCCCCATTTTCATCCAAAGTGTGCATTTGGTGGTTCATATATCCTTTTCCACCTTCATTTTATATTCCTTTTATTACATCACGAGAGAAAAACTTTGACTTTCTCTATGATAAAAGCCAAACTTAAAATTCGCATCAACGTGGTTATGTTCTTATTTTGAAATTTAAAACATTAGTATTATTTTCCATATAATCGAACACAATCCCTATTTTTTTTTAATTTGCGTAATCTTAATTTTGAATGATGAAATTCAAGGTTGTCAAGATCGAGATCTTGCCCAAGATTGTTGTAAATTTTACAAGATCGTAATCGTAAAATCGGATCAGGATTAAAAGATCCTACCAAAATGAGCTTGTATTCAAATTTTCTTGTAAGTTCTTAGGTGTGCAATATACATTATAATTTTGATGTCGATTAAGATGTCAATATGGAATCAACTTTAACTTATTAAACATGAATAAAAAAAATTTGTTGCTGCAAATGGTAAAAATTAGGAAGAAAACATCTTAATTACAAAAAGAAACAGGATGATCCCACGATAGATCTTGCTTCAAATAGGTCATAGTGATATCAAGATCTTTTTTTGGTTAGTAAGATCTTAAAATCATAAGATCTTAAGATCAAGATTGGGATCTTAACAACCATGGTGAAATTGTTTACTTTGACTACAAAACAAGACAAGGATGGCCTTTGGACGTATTGTTCTTGTTTTTCATTACATCTTCCATTCTTGTGTCATGAAGTGCATTCTTTATTAATTTATTTGAATTAACATACTCTTTTGTTTGGTTTCACCTACTTGTGTCACATAAGATTTAGAAGAAGTCTTGCTTTGTTGGCCAAATCTTTGACTTTTAATTTGATTTTCTTCTTGATTTTGACTGACTAACAGAAGCAAGAAAACAAGTGATGCATGTAACAGAGAGATTGGGTGGTCAATTCAATCCCCATTTTCATCCAAAGTGCACACATTTGGTGGTTCAGATATCCTTTTCCACCTTCAGTTTGATGTTTATCTTATTTTAAGGGAAACTATTTTGACTTTTTGTTAAATATTTAACAAGAAGATCACGTGGACCCAAATCAATACTATCAGTTTACATAAAACTATTTTTAGGAGGGAACATATGTTTGTGTGAGTAACTTAATGAATATCTACAACTCGTAGGAACACAAATCTGATTATGCATCGAAGCACGGAACCAAAGATGGTCTTTTTATAGTTAGACTAGTATGGTTTGTCGATAGTGTAAGAAAAAATGGCAAGAAAAAAGATACACTTCTAATACATTTTTGTGGTAGTGGGTTGTTGTGTATTTGATTTACATACGCTCCTAGAGCAGGACAATGTGGGTCAGCTCAAGGGTTCCCAAAATAATAACCTTTGTGCAGAAATTAATGCTACTCTTTTTCTTGTGTTTAGTGAGATTGAACGAGTCATTATATGGGGTTAAGAGTTTTGGAGAGGATTATATAGACAACGATGATCTAAACAAGATTTCTTGTCTTCCTAATGCCATGGTGGAAAATGTTAAATAATGTAAGTTGATGCAAAGAACAAGATTATATATGGAAAAGAAAAAAAAGAAGATGGTCAGTTTTTTCGGGTCAAACCGTTTATGTTGACCCTGATGTTCTGATTAAGCTGGAGAACAAGGTGGAGGAGACTGCTCGGGAGAAAGGTGGTTTACTAATGAACGAATGGTTGGTTGGTCAACATGCAACTCATGTGGTATGTGAAGCTTCTTTGGTTGGAAAGTATCTCGGTCAATCCAACAATCTTGTTACTGTAAGTTTTAGTAAGTTTTACAACATCTAAATTAAATGATTGTTGCTGAAAATTTATGAAATAATCACAATCTCATATGTTGTTTTACTAATTAACTATTAGCAACTGATGTACCACAACCTCTATGGTTTCTGAAGAAGGTGAAGGAGATGAGGTCGCAGAGGCTTGTCCATTTGTCTGCTGACTTGGCATGCCATCTAGGAATGACGATGCACAATATTCTAGGTGGAAATTGTCGAAAGGTATATAATCCCATTTCGATGCATAAACAGCAAAAGAGTATTTTGGTTCTTTTACATTTTTAGCTTTCTAAATTTCAATACTATCTTTTAATAATCAAATATTTACCATCGTCTATTTGAAACATTTTATACATCATCATGTTTTAAACACGCATCATATTTGATATTGATGTTATTTTTATAGACTGTAGGCTTATAAAAACTATTTTTATATATGATATTTGATAAATTATATTAATTAGTCAAAAAGAAATTAAATATAAAATATGATTAAAGGGACCATATGAAAATTTTAATAAGAATAAAAGATAAACTATAATAACACAACAATTACGTAAGTAGTTGAAGAATATTTGGTGGTTGATTAATAGCATCAAAATAAATCATTTTCTCCGATAGTTATAAAAGTTTAAGAATAGTATAAGTCATAAATAAGCTTTTGTTGAAGATGATCTTATTAATTTTTGTGCATAATTCTATACATATCTTGACATTTTCTGGTCTTGATGAGTTATAGGATTGTGATACGATCCATGATTCTCGAGATATCATCAAAGCTAGCCGCAAAGAGAATCAAAGCATAGCAATGATTGCAAAAATGCGGGTCAAGAATCGTCGCACGCAAGTAATAACACCAACTTTATCTTCATGTTTGCTTTGTGTGATTGTATTTAACGAAGTGGAGTTTGGATTTTAGTAACAGACGTGTCAAAAACTTATAAAACCATTATCTCCAAGCACCCTTTTGGATTCAATAAATTGGATTATGTCGAAGTCATCATTGACCACATATATTTGTAACAACGCCATCAGTTGCCAAGATATCCGTACCAGATGCTTGTTTCGTGAGCTTTCTACAACCACTCTTTGAAATGTTACTTTTCATATCATCTTTTCTTTTTTACTTTGTATTTATTAGGATCAGGTCGGGTCGTTTACTTTGCCCACAAGGCTTAGCCCATTCCTATACGGGTTCTGAAACTTTTTTGTTCTTTTTGGTGCAGGAAAAAGAGTGAGTTGGTTTTTGGAAACCATTTCATTACGATATTGTTTCCGGTGGACCGATTTAGGGAGATGAGCCCGTGTTCAAGGACATTCTTCGGTGACACAGGGTTCACATGTTGGCAACTATTACATCACATCTACACTTTTTATCTAGTAAACGGTTATCCCTTATGTATTTTTGGCCGACAATCTTGAATCCAGTTAGACTAAGTCAACTTGTTGCTTAAAACTCACCCAACATTTGTTTTTTATGGTATGGTTAGGAAAACATGTCAACATCCGAGATAGAGTTAGCCATCCACACTGATTCCCAGAATGCTGACCGGCTATGGTCAAACTACTCCACCAAATAAGTTATAAAAGTCAAACACATTGACTTCTTAGGAACTCGGAGAAGGTTTCAAATGCTCAAGTGTGTAACCGGGGACCACAATAAAAAACGTGTACAGAGTTGTTGACACATGCATAGTTCTTTTTCCAATTTGACTTCATGAGAACAATACTTAATCTAGTAAGCTATATATATGGATTTTTCTTTTTGGCTCTATAGAGAAGCTCTAGAAAAGCAAATTTCCCACCATTAAATGCATTTTCTATAGATTTTCCTTCATTAAACATGCTATGATTACAATTACGTGCATAACCCCAAAAAAACAACATCAACATACCTATATTCTTCATTTTTAAGGAAAAGATGCCATATGGGCACCAAATTTGCTATAACCAAGACTATATGCATAACACACAATTCGGAAATTTTGCTTCCTAAAACAGGATTAGCTATAAACATACCATACCTATATTTCTTCATTTTGGAGGAAAAAGGTCATGATTAGCGATTATATTCACCAGAGTTTGTTAATTATATATATTTACTTTGGCTTACGGATGAGTTTCTAGCTGGCCAATTTTGATCTTTCCAAGTCGTTGGAGCTCATAGAGCATGAGTAAGGCAGCAGAATCAAAAGAAGTCTTCTTATCTGCGCGTGGGTTCCCCTTGAGTTGTATTACACCATAACCAGGAATAGTGAAGGTGATATGTGCCTCAAAGCTATTGAACCCTGTTCTTTTCTCCTTCCCTTCACCAAATTCAACAAGAGAACTGCAAAATCATGCTTCATTTTTAAAACCACAGCTTTTAATAATAAAAAAGGGCATCATATGAGAAGATTGAAGCAAATTTTAGTTACTTTGATCTTTTCTCTGATGTTGTAAAATCAGGCATGAGCCATTGCATTTTCTTGCACAGCTCATGAAGTGCAATTCTTGGTCCTCCCTTCTTCATGTTGATACACTCTATCACTGCCATTCAAATCAACATCAAATTCAAAACCTGTTGTAGATCAAAACAAACAAACATCTATGATGATTGATTACCTGGGATTTCAACCTTGGAATTAGATCCTAATTCCTCCTTCATTGATGGCTGAGGATCAAACAGAGTTATCTTTGTATCCTTATTAGGACTTAGGTTCAATAGGGTTGTATCATTTTTCTTATTGTTTTCGTTATCGATTTCCCCATCTCCATTTTCCTGATTCTTTCTCGAAATCCCCCTTTTCTGTCAACTCAAATCAAATGAAAAATCTCAAAAAGTCAACATTAATCGTAAGCCAGAAATCAGAAAGAATAACAGAAAGGAACCCAATTCCAAACCTCGAGCTGTGTTAACAATTGAAGAGCGGCTTGTCCCCTTGCCACTTTCCGGGTTGAACCGGTTCCGTTTCCAATCAATAAGGCGTCTTTCAGCTGCAACCGTAGCTCCGCAATTACCATATCACCCTTGATTTGACATGTTTCTTTGGTGAAATAGCCCATTGAGTCACATAACTCCATCAACTCTCGTAAAGGAGGAAGCTCGAGGTTTTGTGGTGTTACTATTGGCGATAATAAAGGCTCAACGATTCCCCAAACTTTATCAAGGTTGAATTTTGTGTCGAGTAATATGGCCCCAGTGATACTCTCAACTAGGTCACCAAGTGCCTGTATAATTAATAACAACATAAACATTATTGTTTAATAAAATACACAAATTTGTCCTTACCTTCATGTTAATGGCCTTGAATCCAAGAGTTTATGCAAGAAATAAACTGACCTTAGGGGATTTCTTGGTTTGGAGAGAGTTTGTATCAGTGGAAGAGGTGGCCACAAATTTCTCATACTCTTCAATCTGAGTTTTGAGAAAGCCAGAGCGATACTGAAGGTGGTGATGAAGGTTGCGTCTGACAGCAGCATATGCAAAATTTTCATTATTAACCGATGCCGAACGTAGATCCGTTAGTTCTCCAGGATCAATATCTTTGTGTTTTTTGTACAGATACCATGTAATCAGTATGTCCAACACTGAGTCCCCAAGAAACTCCAACCTCTAAAAGTAGAGCATTATTACTATTATGTTGTAATAAAAAGGAATGATAGGCAAAGTCATAAGAAAGCCTACCTGATAACAGTATCCAACTCCTTGCTCTTGACCTGAAGCATGAGTGATGGCTTCCAATAACAAACCCTTCACCACAAATTCATACCCAATCTTCGACTCTACACACTCAAGCACTTGAAGTTTTGGGGTGTATGCATGAAGTGAAGCCATTTTAATGGCTTCATTGATGCGCGATTCATCAAGCTCACAACTCAGACCCAACCATTTCATACAGTGAAGAGCTCCGGTCAAACCAGCTTCCACATAATAAGCTCCCACCAGGGCCTCAACACAGTCCGACACTGTCTTTGACCCCATCCACCTGTGGCCCACATCACACCACTTTCCAAGTAAAGTTTTCGTATCTTCACTCTGGTATTTGCTGTCGATTGGCACATCTGTCGTCTCGATGCCATGATCACACGGGTAAAGTCTTGAAGGATGCTGACCTGGCGCTGTCCATCGAGTAGGGTCAAACGCACTGTCTCTTATGAAACCCTGTAAACAATTCAAGAAATTTTTGTTTCAGAGATTTTGCTAATATTATTAGCAATGGATTACAATCTTTAGAGCATACCTGTAAATGGACGCCGATTCCCAAATCGTACAAGGTGGAATTACAAACTTGCCATGATCTCCGAGAAGACAGCTGTCCTTCATGTTTGTTTGGGTATTTCAGATAAAGATCACAACTGACTGCATATTTCAGCACTGAATCACCAAGCAACTCCAATCGTTCCATGGAGAAACTTTCATTGCATCGAAGAGTCGTGATGGCTTCTAAAATCTAAAAGGAGACAAGAATCATGATATTAATGGGATTGCAAACATTCCTTTAGATATGCAGCTGTGGGTTGTACTCCCGGGGTAGTGATGTATGTCTAGAGTACAACCCGCAAAGCTTCAATGAAGATAATAGAAGTACAAACCAATGAGCTGGAGACATGTATGTCAGTAGAATGGGAAGTGATCTGTTGACGAAGCTGACTAGCCAACATCAAGGACTCAAGGCGATGCATGAATGAAGGTAGCAAATAAAAAGGTTTCACAACATCAAGTCTTGCATCAATAACAACTAAAAGTTCAGGTGGTATGCGAGCATTGTATCTCTGCCTCTCTGTATTCACCTTACAACTCTCAGAACGTATCTTCTTTCCATGTAAAATACCTAAAAATACCAACAAACAAATCGTTAATTAACGAATTCTATTTTATATGGTTAAAATCATCACATCGTATATTTCAAGAAACCTTCATTATTGAAGTCCACAAGAAGGTTATGTGCCTTATGGCTTTGCTTTAGCAGCACCATGTGTTGTGCTGGGTGTAGTAGAGCAATTCCATACTTCTTGTCAAAATAGTCAGTGAATGATGAAAACCTATTTCCATCAAAAGGACTATCTGCGGTTTCATTTTCAAGCACCTCGAGAACTGTGTAGATTTTCCCAGTGTGAAAAGCCAAAACTACAAGGTCCTTTATGTTATCTTTATGAACAGATTTGTTTGCAAAGTGAACAATCTCTGTGTGATTGGAATCAGTCATGACTAAATCCAAACTCTTCACTTCACTTATGTCATTACGAGACTTGATGAAGTCAACAGCGGATACACTAGAGTCAATTGTCTTCCAATTGATTGTTAAAGGTTCTACTGATTCCAAAGGCAACAACAAGTAAATGTATGATGAGCTCCACAATGTTGTTTGTTTGGATCCGATATCCAACTTCCCAAATATACCATTGAAGAATACTTCTTGGAAACACTTTGCTTTTGATATCTAGTAAAAGAAACCAAAAACATAACATTAAAAGATGGAGGTCAAGAGTTACCAAAGATGTAAAGATTTGTCAATGATTAAAACTTTTGTAACACATGATAGGATATGGCCCGTATGACATGGAGTATGACTTGGACTGATTTCAATGGGACAAAAATTGCAGCTTTTTTGTCCCACCTAAAACCTTGGCTTTCACAAACTATTTTAAAGTGAGTGTTAAATATAAGTTTTTGCTCATACCTGCTCTCCATTGAGATGCAACTCCACAGATGAAGAAACAGTGCATTTCACAAATTTTGAAACCAAAAACAGTTCAATTTCAATATTGCCAACATCATCCTCTAGTTTAGATTCAACCAAAAGAACGAAACTTGAATATTGCACATCGACAACACTACATGAGAAAATGATTTTGTAAGCAAAAAAATTTGCCCCATCATCAGTTTTGTCTCCCCAAGTCCCTGATAGTGCACGAATGAGTGTGGTTCCATGTAGCTCCTTCCTCTTTGTAGTCCCTGTCATAACAAAACAACATGAAACGATGCTTCAAATTACATTAAAAAGAAACCCTAAAATGAATATACATTCCATATCTAATATGCACCTGCACCAGAGGATTGTTCTTTAGTCTTTTTAGCAGATGTGATATCTCTTGAAGGATCTTCATTGTTAGGGAGAAGATGGTCATTGAGTCCCCCCATTTGGTGCAACTTTTTACAGGCCTCCAAACATACAAGCTGCTTTGAAAGATGTGAGGTCTTAGACCGAGGACCCGTTATGGTTTGAAATGCAGCATTGGGAGGTAAAGTCATTTTACACTCGTATGAATCCTCCACCAGTAAGAATTGGAAATCTGGTTTGGGTGTGTAAAACCTATGGCACAACACAAGCAAGCAAAACTTGAGAATTTGAGACACAAACTTCATAAACTTTTTAATAAAAAAAGGAATCAATCGTACTTGTCGCCAGGGAGTTTTGAGCAATATCTATGAATGAGGCTAACACTAGAATCTGCAGTGACTGAAGCTCCTGTTGCCTCAACAAAGTAAGCTTCTGTTTCTTTGAAGTTGCATGGCTCTACAACGCCTGTGTTGGGGTCTCTTTTTTTGGAACTTTCCATTATGGTCTGTTCACTTCGAATGATATCACAAACATGCTCCCTTTGCTTTGCATTTCCCCTATTGAAACATCTTCTAAAATATAACTTTTCATGGGAAGAAGTTATGATGATGATGATGATGATGATGATGATGATTACCTCTCAAGCATGATGATGAACTTGGAGTTGGTTTGACGAGCCCTTCCACGTGATTGGACATTGCTACGAACTGTTTTTGTGATATCAAAACGGATGACAGTTGAACATTTTGGCACATCAATCCCTTCTTCAACAACATCCGTAGCAATTAGTAGATTCACCTGATTCAGAGAGAGACACCTCATTTTCACTTTTAAGATTCAACCAAAGGGACAAAATAACAAGTATGCCTATGGCTACATGCATAAACGACATTAAAAGAGGTAAGCATTTGCTATCATGGACTTGGATATCAAATGTAAACCTTATTAATGTGTTAAAATTTATAAGAAGATTCTACAGCAGTTTTTTGAAATTGGAACATAATAGATATGAATATGTATACCTTCCCAGAGCGAAAAGAATCAAGAGTCTCCTTTTGCAGTTTTGGAGACATTGCATCAACGGATGTTGCACTACCAGTCAAATATGAAACAGTCAAATGAGACAAGTCTTCAACTCTCTTCAAGATTATGTCAATGACTTTAGCTGTTATAATTCTTTCTACAAAAATAAGGCATAATACTTGTGTAGCTTCCCTGAAAGCAAAATCCCCAAACTAGTTATTGGATTTGTTAAATCTCAATGAAATTTATTTTTTACCCATAACAGCAACGTGCTTACATTTCTTTACCAATAATAGCAATGCATTTCATATTTTGCTTATTAAGCAATGTAGTTATATTTTGTTACTGATTTGGACATTGTACTTTATTTGTTACATATTGCTATCATCAGTAAAGAAATGTAAATATGTTCTATTATAAGTAAGGAATTGTAAGTACGTTGCTATTAATTGCTATTATCAGTAAACAATGTGAGTACAATATTATTATGGGTAGGTATATTTAGGTTTATAGATATTATGGGTAAAAAATAAAGTACATTGCCTATATTGGTAAAAAGAGTTAAGTGCATTGCTATTTCCTACAATTTGCCCTTGTAAAATCTACCAAAAACATAATAATTTAAGGTGTTTAGTGATAGTGAACTTCAAATATGTATAAGTGGTTTTATTTGCATCTCAAAGAAAAGATACCCAAACACTTATATTTTGAGCAAAATACTCATTTATATAAGAGTTTATTCCATAAAAGTCCTTATACTTTCTTTCTTTTTCCGTTTTAGACCTAAAAAAATTTTTGCAAAATAAACCCAGCTTTAACCTATTCCTCATTGTTTCATTAATGGAGCTTGAAACCAACAAGTAAATTGGGTTTATTCTATAACAGACGCTATATTTGGCCTTTTTCCACTTCAGACCTAAAACTTCTTTTTTTCAAAAAAAACCCAACTTTAACCTATACCTTGTTATTTTATTAATGGAGTATGTTACCAAGGTAACAGGTAACCCTATATCCCCCCTAGGTCACGTGCATCCTAATCATAGATCACCTAAAAGAAGAACTTTATTGATGAGCCCAAGCAGTTGAAGGTCTACCAAAGGAGGAAGCATAAGGCAAACGTTGGATCAGCCCACGTGAACAACACTTAGCCCAAATAAGTGGCAGGGGCAGTTTAGTCTTTTGTGCCCTCTGCAGGAATGTTCTTTTAGTGTTTTTTTGCTGTTATGGGTCGTAGTGTCGTGGTGTTAGCACTAACGTTGTCTAGCCAGGCTTTTTGGGGACCATTCCATGCCTGTGAGTATTTAAGCATGCCTAGTCTTAGTGTGAGGGAGGGAAGAAATTTGTGTTTATCACTCATTTGGAGAGCTCCATTCCTCTCGAAAGAATGGAGAGTTACCTCTGAAATTGAAGTCTTCTTCCTTTACGTGATTGTTCTGTTCTTATCTGTTTATATTCTGTTCGAGGGCTTATCATTTATTCTAAAACCCTAGGTCATGTTTCTTGTCTTCTTCTTGTACACCACATTGGGTCCCCTAAAATGGCTTACTCCTCAAGCAAATCAGGAACAAAAACATAGTGAGGAATGTTGAAATAGAATTATGATATTGTGAGGATGAATCCCCCATATTTACCTCCTGTAACAAGGTTGTTTTCACAAGACCAAGTCTGTTGTCAAAGGCTATCCCACGGTTGTTTTAACAAGTTCTGATGGTATGTTCATTTTAACGGTATATGGGGACTGTTTTGCAAGCAAGTTTGACCTTTAAACCCATTTTGACCCAAGTATGTTGCATGACAGTTAATTTTTATCCTAACAAAAAATAGCAACTTATTTGCAAAACAGTCCCATACACTGTTAAAATGACCGATAATATGTTTTCGGACAGTTTTGCAAATAAGATATTTTTTGTTGGGAAAAAATAAAATGGCATGCAAAATGGGTTTAAAGGTAAAAAATAGCAATTGCTTCTAAAACAATCCCGATACACTGTTAAAATGAACATGACATAAAACCTTGTGAAAACAACATTAGGACAACCTTTAAAAACAAACTCATTCTTGTGAAAACAGCCTTGGGATAGGAGGCAAATAGAGGAGCTTCATTCTCACAATAACAGAATTCCATTTCAGCAATCCTTACTAAGTTTTTGTTCCTGATGCTCAAGGAATAAGCATTTCAGGGGACCTAATGTGGTGCAGAAGAAGGAGGAGACATATGACCTAGTTTTAGAATCAATTCTTTTTTAGGTCAAAATCCGGAAAAAAAAAAAAAAAAAAAAAAAGAGAGGCAAAATGTAAGGTCTTTTATAGAATAAACCCAATAGGTTTACCTGTTGGTAACCGGCTCCATTAATGAAATAACAAATAAAAGGTTATAGTTGGGTTTATTTTGAAAAAAAAAAAAAATAGGTATAAAACAGAAAAATGACAAAATGTAGGGTCTTTTATGGAATAAACCCTTTATATAAAGATGGAGAGACTCCATGATGAAATGAGGGAGTATTTAATTACCCAAATGACAGGAAAAGTTGCAAGAATTGATATAGTTTTGGTGAGATATAACCAGCTGCAACCATGTTCTTATAATCACATCCAGCATCAAATATATGTTCATGGCCTGAATATATGAAAATAAATTTAAAAACTAATCATTCCACAAATTCATAAAATTCTCAACTATGAAAGATGATAGTCAAAAAGAATAAAAGTTGCCAAATAGCATACCATTTGGCAAAGATTCCCCAATGATAGACAAAGCTTCCTCAAGGAAATAAAAACATTGTGAGCAGCTTTTCTGAAAAAAATCACATTCTTCTACAGCTTTGGGGGCATGCTCTATACAAATTTTAACAGCCTAAAAACAATAAATAATATAAATGAGCTAAACTAGTGATTCTGAACTAAAAGTTTACTCTTTAAATTGCTTAAAAAACAATACCTCATAAGCACACAAAAGCCCCAACTCATCAAGACAATAAACAACCTTAGTGTAATCATTAGACAACCTCTTTCTTAGAATTTCATGTTTTTCATCGGTATCTTTGTAATTACTTTGTAGCGACACTTGCAACTCCAGCAGTTGTGCTTCAAACTGTCATTAAAACAGGGGAACAAAAGAAAACGGAATGATTTATTTCTCAAGGTTCAGTTTTTATTGTAAAAAAATCCGTAATTTTTAACATATTCCACCTTAAATCTTGAGGATTCCAGTTTAGCTTTTAGTTCTGAATGAGAAACCTTAGATGGCTCATAGAAACAATAGGAATGTGAGGCAGATGGGGTGACATTCTCCAGCTCTGTCCTGTTTCTTATTGTGTAAACCTTCACATTCACAAAAAACAATTTTAATCAACAAATTTTCATATTCCAAATAACTTTTAAATAAAGATTTAAACTTGTGAGTTATGATTTGTGATTTCTACTACCCGAGAATCCAACATGCTTTCAAGCATTGTCATTTGTGCTTCACAGTCTTCAGTCGAAGAGACACCTAATGTAGAAATTATAGTACAAAAGATGTATATAGTTATATGTTGATTACCTTCAATATTGGAAAAATTGTGCATAAATACAAATTTAAAAAAAAAAAAAAAAAGTATCTAAAGGAAATATGTCAAGAACAACATCCACCACCAATGTGTGCCCTGCTACTCACGTTCTCAGCCTGCATCACTGAATATGATCCGTGTATTGCAAATCATATTGAGCAACGCAGAATGAAATGTAAGTTTTGAGACAATCATGGATGATAGATCTTGTTTCTTATTATTGATTTATTTCCACATCAATTGTTCACTGGATAAAAGATGTTAAATAGGTATTTGTTAGAAGTTAGGACATAATGGGGAAAGACTTCTTTCCTTCACTTTCTCTATTAAGTTGTTCTCTTTGCATTAAGATAACAAGAAACACCCATATTTAACGTCTACCTTGTTACAGAAATGCAACATGATTCAGACCCCATGAGTGGAGAATTTCACATTCTTACGCCCCAATGTTATAAACAATTTCAAAGTCTTTAGATTTAAAAAGATGGAAGAAACTAAAAAAAAAAAAAAAAAAACTAACCTTTTTTAGTTACAGGGGATGCAGTCATGCCAAATACTTTTGGCTTGTCAACAGCTTTGAGATAAAATTCCTTCAAAAAGAACAAGATAAAACCTCACCAACATATTTTTTTCATCACAAAATCATTTATATTAATAGTGAAAGATAATTAATTACCTTCATTATGGTTACATAAGGATGATTACCAGTAGCTCGGTGACACTCATCAATAATCAATAAACATATTCTTTCAAAGTTCACAAACGCATTCCTCAAGGAATCCAACAAAATTTGAGGAGTCATAACCATTATCTGTTAAAATATAACAAAAACGATATGAAAACACCAGCACTCATACGCAAAGCTTTTATTAAAATATAAGAAAATGATGATGCGAACTTCTAATCTTTTATAAAATCAGAAATAAACTCACTTGATTTTTACTTGTCTCGTGTTCCCAAATGGAAGCATCCCATTCATCAACCTTCTTTCCATCGATATTTTTACCAACACCCACTTTAGTCCCATGGTAAAAATCAACCATAAGATCTGTGTTTTCCCTAAGAACCTTACATTGCTGCAATTCAAAACAGATACCACTTATCTTCAAATTTGATTTGGATTTCATAACAAAATTTACCACTTATCTATCTCCCTCGTTTCTCTATCTTCAACTAAGTTGGCAGAGTCTAATAAACGTAAATTACCCAATATTTTTATAAATGGTGTTCATACTATACCTGTTCAACAAGATTACGAGTTGGGGCCAAGAAGATCATCAGTTTCTTTTCAGATAGTTGATTTTTAAGAGAAAGTGCAACTTGTTTGATGATCATTACGGCGATCATTGTTTTTCCGGCGCCGGTGTCCAGATGAGCTATGGTATTACGCCGCATAGCCACATTAAACACATCCAACTGATACCTAAAATTCAAGATTAGCAGAAAGGATATCAAATCAAATAGAAATAGAGAACTGCAGATAAGAAAACATAATCAATCCAAGAGTCTTACTCTCTGGGTGACAAATTTGTTTGGGGAATAATCACGTCTTCCGAGCTTCATCAAATAAATCCACATTAATCAAGACATAGTTAGTTTTTATATGAATCACATTTAGTAGGATTAATAAATTGAAGAAACTCAAAACACTTACGGCCTGGGTTGTTGGCTATTAGATGAATCATAAATCATCGTTTCAAAACTTCTCTTCAAAGGGTTTGTTGGGTTTCCTGAAATCTCAGAGGAATGCATGTTTCCGTTCAACTGATTAGCAACCCAAATCAGAATAATTTTGGTGTGTTTTTTTTGGGGAAGACACGGAATATGTGTGTTGTTTTGTTTTTCTCGAGAAATCTGACGAATATTGTAAAACTTCTGCAAAAATATCGATCACTAGGTAGTGCGACGAATCAATCCAGTGTACGTTTTTGCTGTGTTTTAAAGAGGGTTTACTTTTGAAGAAACTTGCATGAACATTGAGGATTCACGGAGAGGACTGAGTTCAAAGTACTTTCCCAAAGTGAAAAAAAGAATCTCTCTACGATTGGGATGATTGACAGGATCGTTTTCCAAGTTAAAAAATAATCTTTATTGGGATGATTGAGAGGTGGTAGGAGAATATTATTTAGGAGAGGAATAAACTTTAAAATCGTATAAAAGGCATCATTTAATTTTTATTAGGAAATATATATATATATATATATATATATATATATATATATATATATATATATATATATATATATATATAAAAGGTTAGGTTATTTTGTTTTTAATAACTACTGTGTGCCAGAATGCACAAATCTGGACCATCGGATGGAATATAATCAAAGGTCATTGATCTGAGGGTCTATGATAGTAGAATATGATAACATGTACCATATAATCACACAAATTTCAACATAAGGGCATTTTAGTCAATTAACCTATATTAAAAAAGGAAATTTTCGGATTTTTAGGAATGATTAATTTCTTTATTTTTTAAAAATCTGAATATTTTAAATTAATTCAAATTTAAAAATCCGATTTTATTCTGTCAGAATGATAGAATGTCAACCATAAACTAGTAAATATATTTTTCGATTTTATTCTGTCAGAATGGCAGAATGTCAAACCTAAACTAGTAAATACATTCTGAAAGAATACACAAATCAATTCTTGAACTAATAATATAACAAATAATTACATTGTATGATTGTGATTAATTGAATAATAACAACATTCTGAAAGAAAAAAAAAACATCAAAATCTAAGAAAAATATTAATCTATTCTGAAAGAATATAAACATTCTGAAAGAATACACAAATCAATTCTTGAACTAATAATATAACAAATAATTACATTGTATGATTGTGATTAATTGAATAATAACAACATTCTGAAAAAAAAAAAACATCAAAATCTAAGAAAAACATTATTTTTAATCAACACTTTATACATTGTAGCATAGCACATTCTGATATAATACACTCTCGTTCTATATGTTTTCTTCCTTCTCCACATCAATGTTAGCCTCTTCAAACCTAAATACACAAAGAAAAGATAATCAGTTTTCAAAAATTAAACAATTCAATGCATTATAATAGAATACAACAATAAATATTCTTACATAATAAACTATTCTTGCAGAATGATTTTGAATATTCTTAAAGAATTTGTAACATATTCTATCAGAAATGATATGATAGAGAATGATAACATATTCTACCGGAATGTTTTTTAATTTTCCTATCTAATAATGGTTTTTTACTTTCCCTATCTTGACAAATAAGAAGATTGAAATCAAATTGTCACAGAATAATAAACATTCTTAGATTTTTGACAGAATACATACTACATGGCCAGATTCTCTTTCAGGCATTTCCACAAACACCTTTTGTGCACACATATATAAATAATAGAGAATCAAAAGCTTAAAGTATAAAAAAACAAATATCCTCATTGTTCTTCTGATGCGAATTTAAGGGAGTGTACAACTCAGCAAAACTTAGCATCCATTAAAATAGGTTGCTTCATCAATTAGGGTTTAAGAAAAAAGGGTTAAAGTATAATCGTTGGTACCTGTATCGAATATCTCACTTGAGTAGATCCAAATGAAAATAGCTCAGGCATGGGATTTATGCTTCCGTCTCGGAGCACCGTCTCTACAACTGATTCACAAATGTGCCGGTTTCCTGTCCACAACAGTCCGACTGCTCTGTTCACTGGATTCACCGTCCGGCCAGAGGCTTCGAACAGTAAAGACTGAAATAAACCTGAACGTACACAATTAAACAGATAACCAATCAATTCGTATTATATATCAACATATTAATCAACCAAAACCTCAAATAGTATAACTTGTTAGAAGGTATGAGATAAATAGATAGATTGAAGATGTTGTGATGATATTTACCAGGTCATTGGTGCTCAGTGATGGAGGAGAGGAAGGACATAAGGCCGGCACAACCGAAAAATTTGGCAACAAACAAATTGGCGTTGGCTTGAGCTTGAGCACTTTCGATGGCACAGAGGCTTTGTCTGAGAATGCAGCCCTTTCAAAGATTCTGCAGCCATTGCAACAACACCTTGAGTCTGTTTGTGTGCTAATTATTGGAAGTGATGTTGAATAGGAATGGGGTTTGGAGTTGTGTTTATATATGTCGAACTAAGGAGAGTATAAGGGTTTCTGGATCTGTGAAGAGAGAACGATGATTTTTAGAAAATTAGGGGGAATCGTTGGTGGTGTTATATGAAGATGATAACCTAAATTAGTGGGATATTGATTGATTTTGTTTTCTTTTACCATAATTAATTATAGTGTATATTACTCTTATACCCTTTTATTATTTATTAATGATTTAATTATTTCTTGAATTCTCATTAGTGCATTTAGGCACACAATACTTGTTAAAAACATTTGAACCTAGCTCTATATATATATATATATATATATA